TGTAAAATTCTCAGTCCACTTTGTTCCTTACAATTTCTAATTGCTATGATATTACATTGGTCTCAATTTGAAGCTTAAAGTTCATAACCACCCCTTCATAACATTGTTATTTTATCACATTACCTTTGAGCTTTTGTTTCATTGCACTCAATTTCTTTTTAAGTTCTGTAGTGTGAAGCAATTGTAAGGAATTCTTTCTATTCCTCAAATTGTAACGTCTTCTAAATTAGATTCTTTGCCTTTTACGTACACCCTCCTTTCATCCAGAAGAGGGAATGGTAGCTGGAAGTGGACAAATCAGTGGAAGTGATATGTAGTTTTACTCTCATTTATGTGTTTGTTTTAAAATACTTGGGCTCTGCTTTTTCTTCAGAAATGTTGTTAAATGTTCTATGTCAAGAGTTTCCTTCACCTGAGCAACATGAAGTCCTGGCATTTTGGATTCTATCAGGAAGAAGCAGCCCTATGGGTTACTCATCTGTTTCTCTCTAGCCCCTTTGCTTCTCTCCAGGATTTGTTGACTTCTTATACAGTTTCTGAAGGGTGAGCGGGGGTTAGGAGCCGAGCCATGCACCTGCTCTACTCTGCTCTCAAACGAACGTTCTGTTTCTCCTCTTGGTAACTAGTTTTTTTAAATTCGTTGCAATATATTATTCCCTTTTCCCATGTGTGGTTTCTATTCGTAAAACCTTTTTGCTGATGTTTAGTACAGTTTCTTCATTTAAAAAATTCCCATCCAGGCTAGGTGTGGAGCTCAGGCCTGTAATCCCAGCACTTTGGGAGGCCCAGGCGGGGGGATTGTTTGAAGCCAGGAGTTGGAGACCAACCTGGGTAACATAGTGAGACCCCGTCTCTACAAAAAATTTAAAAATTAGTTGGGCATGGTGGCACATGCCTGTTGTAGTCCCAGCTACTTGGGGAGGCTGAGGCAGGAGAATCACTTGAGCCTAAGAGTTTGAGGTTGCAGTGATTTGTGATGATGTCACTGCACTCTAGCCCAGGTGACAGAACAAGACCCTGTCTCAAAAAAAAATAAAAATCACATCCAATAAGGGGTGTGTGTGTGTGTGTGTGTGTGTGTGTGTGTGTGTCTGTGTGTGTGGCAGAGTTTCCCCATGTTGATGGATGTGGAGGAGGGAAAATAGGTGATGTATTCAGGCATATCATCCACCCTGATGGTAAGGCGACATTTTGCCTGCACCCCCAGTACGTGCTGAAGTGGTCTCGAATGTAAGTGACTGGGTAGACAAAGAGGAAGCAGAGCAGAGGGAGGGGCAAGCAGAAGGAGCAAGAACGAAGAGGCAGGTCGTGCTGGGTGTGGAGACGGAATATGGGGTGTGGGGAGAAGAGACAGGGAAGAAGTGGGAGCAGAGGTCACAGAGAGATTTGTCAGGGCCACAAATATTCTGAGGTGCTGGAAGATTTTGAGTATCCCTTGCACTCAAACTTCTTTTTAGCTGTTGATTATTTGGGCAAAATTCTGTTTACCTGTGGACTGTATCCGTGTCGGCATGGGCCACGGCCAGGAGAAGATGGTGTGTGAGAACAGCGAGGGAGCTCTCCACTCACCGACTTCCTGCTGGGGTTCCCGTCACCAAGGGCTGCCTTTGGCAACACTGTGCAAATGTTGGTTCATCACACTGACAGTTCTGGGCAAACAGCTTGTTTACTCCCAACTGTCAGTTAGCTACAGTTGATGACCTGAAAGAAAATGAATGCACTGTCAGGATGTAGGCAAGCAAAACCCAGAAATGGCAAAAATCCCATACAATGAAACAGAATCATTTGTGGGCTCTTGACAGTTTCGTGTCTTCGGACTGCAGTGAGGCAACAAAGAAATGTTCTCCAAGCCAGGTGTGGTGGTGCACACCTGCAGTCTCAGTTACTTGGGAGGCTGAGGCAGGAGGATGTCTGAGCCCAGGAGTTTGAGGTTGCTGTGAGCTATGATTGCACCAATGCACTCCAGCCTGGGGACAGAGTGAGACTTTGTCTCCAGAAAAAGAAAAGAACTAGTCCCTAGTAAAATCATGTGTGGTGAGAAGCTTACATTGCAGATTGTGCATGAGGTAATGACCTGTGATTTCAAGTGGCTGAAACCTTCTGGAAGAAAAATGGTGTTGAAAAGTTACTGCTTCCTGTCTTGCCCCCTCCTGAAAGGGGACTGTGTGCTAGCTGAGCACACAAGGACATTCATCCTCAAAAGCACAACCTCTGAGAGACTACTGGCAAATGTATATTGTTTTGCAAAGATAATTTCTTCCATGGTGCCACAGAATACATTCTTTTTTTAAAATTAAAAATAAAGTGGTTGTGGCAGATCTGGGGCAGAAATGACTGGTTGGACATGTGGAATGCCAAGTTTCTTTGCGTTAGGAATAAATTTTATGGAGTGGAATCACCACTCCGCTTCATTATGATGAATCTACTGGCTGTGGGGAGGGAGTTCTGCTAGGGCACCTGTCGCACTGACAGGGGCGGGGCCCCCAGGAAATGCTGGGAAGAGAATTGATGCTTTCACCAGCCAGGTGCATATGGGTGTGCGTGGGGGGGGGGCATGCCCATGTGTATGTTTGTGTATTCTACCGGATCTTCAACAATGGCATGTTTTCAGAGGGTTTTGGGGGTGTTATTAGACACTATGGATACAAGTAATTCCTTATAATTTGTAAGGGGGCCCACAGTCCTCTTGTGTTTTGGGAGATTGCGCTCCTAGAAATCGATCTCAGTGCTGAGGCAGGAATGAAGAGAAGCTTCGAATGTGAGCTATTGCAGCCTTTTCCTCCTTTCCCCCCAGAGCCCTTTCACTCACTCAAGAATACCTATAATGGCCAGGCACTCTTCCACTCTAGGGATACAGTGCCAGGGGCCCTGCCCTCAGGTAGCACATTGCCAGTATATTAGTTAGCTTTTTCTGCATAGTAGACTGTCCCCAAACAGCTTAGTGGCTTAAAACAACAAGAACAATCATTTGCTTGGTTCTGGTTCTTGTGTGTGTGTTTGTGTGTGTGTGTTTTAAGAGACAGAGTCTCCCTCTGTCACCCAGGCTGGAGTGCAGTGGTGCCATCATAGCTCACTGCAACCTCAAACTCCTGGGCTCGGGGGATGCTCCTGCCTCAGCCTCACTAGTAGCTGGGATTACTAGTACCTGGTGAATAAATTTTGATGTTCGGAGGACACCAGCTTCTTGTGCCTTCCTAACCCACGTGATTCCAATCTCATCAAGCTATCCTTACATTCTGGTCTCTCAGCTGTGAGGCTCTGTCCATTCTTACTCAGTTGGATTCAAAATACTTCACAGCATCATCTCACAACTCAGAATTTTACAAAGAACAAATCAGTGTTTTGAAAGATGCATTTTTTACTTAATTATAACATACATACAAATCATAAAGCAACAGGTCCATGAATTACCAAAGAATAAACAAAAATATTTAGCCATGATACAGGTCAAGAAATAAAATGTGCCCCAAAGTCCTGCTTGTGCCCAGACCTAGTCCTTACCCCTCCTCTCCTAAACACCCTCCTTACTTTTAACATTGTATTATAGATTAGTTCTGCCTGTCTTTTAACTTTATGTAAATGGAATCACAAAGAGTATGCTCTTTTGGACCAGGCTTCTTTTGCTCAGCATTACGGGCATGAAATTCATCCACGTTGTTGTGGGAAACAGTAGTTGGTTCAATTTCATTGATGTGCAGATTTTCATTGTATGAATATACCATAATGTATCTATCATTTTGGCAGTTAATGGATATTTGAATTGTCTCTAGTTTTTGGTTATTATGAACAGTCTTGTGCATGTCTTTTGGTGCCCATATGCACATGTTACCATTGAGTGTATATTTAGGAGTGGAATTGTTGTGTCACAGAGCTTCCATATGTTCAATTTTAGTAGAAATGCCCAGACAGTTTTCCATAATGGTTGTTCCAATTCACACTCCCACTAACAGTGCTGTACATCCTTGTTAACACTTGATACTGTCATTTCATTTAATTTTATCCATTCTGGTGCTATGTAATGGTATCTCATTATGACTATAATTACTATTTCTCTCCTACTAATGAGGTTGAACATCTTTACATGTCTAATGACTATTTAGATATCTTTTTGGCGATGTATCAACTCAAGCATCTTGCCAACTTTTCTATGGTTTGTCTGTCTATTTAGTATTGAATTGTAGGAGTTCTTTTTAAATTCTGGCTATAAGTCCTTTGGAGGTTATATGTGTTGCAAATATCTTCTCCAACTCTGTGCCTTGCATTTTAGCTGCGGTGGCTTTTGGTGAGCAGGAGTTCTTAATTCTAATATAATCCAATTATCTGTCCTTGTGCCAATACCACCACAGACTGAAAAGTAATTCAGTTTTATAGTAAATCTTGAAATCTCGTAGTGTATGGACTCCAGCCTTTTTCTTCTTTTTCAAGATCTCCTTGTCTATTCTTGGTCCACTACATTTCCATAAATTTTAGCATCTACATGTTAATATGAGAGATTTTCATTAGGATTGTATTAAATCTATACAGATCAATTTGGCTAGAATTGACAGCTTAACAATTCTGAGCCTTCTGCTACATGATCACAGCATCTGCCTCCATTTATTTAGGTCTTCTTTAATTTTGCTCAGCAATATTTTGTACCATTCCATTTAGAAGTCTTGTACATCTTTTGTTAGATTTATTCCTAGGTGTTTGCTTTTTTATACTATTGTAAATGGCATCCTTTTAAATTTTTGTTTTCTGTTTATCGCCGGTATATATTCTATAAATACAGTTGAAGTTTTATATGCATGGTAAATCCAATGCCCTCAATACACTCATATATTAATTATAATGATTTACATGTGGATTCTTTGGGTTTATCTGTGATGCACAGTCGTATCATCTGTGAATGAGGACGGTGTTATTTATTCTGTTCCAGTCCTTATGCTTTTTATTTCCTTGTGTTCTGGACTGGCTCTGTGCCTTTGGACCTGATGAGGTTTTTCTCTCTTTCCTCTCAGACGAGGCTGAGGCACATATTGACTATGAAGATAACTTCCCTGATGACAGGTCTGTGTCATTCAGAGAGCTCATGGAGGATTCCCAGACAGAGGCAGAAGAGGACAGGGATCAGGGAGAAGCCTCTGAGGAGACTCCCAAACGGGACAGCCTGGTCTCCATTTCCATGGGGAAAGAAAACATAGCCCGGGATAAAGCCTTCGTGCCAACCGCAGGTTTGCCCGGTGTTGGGAGCAATGTCCCCACAGACTTGCCAGGATCTCGACCAAACCAGAAGTACTTGTTCTGGTTTCCTGCTGAGACTTTCCACCAGCCTGAGCTGGAAAAGGAGGTGGATGATAATCCCAAAAAGCAGTTTCCTGCTGGAGACAACCACAGTAGTGTAAAATTTGTCCTAGGTAAACCTGAAAGCAAGGTGATCTATGGCAGCACTGACAGCTCCTCGGGGCCATTTCTGGGCAGGAATGACAGCAAGGCAGGGGATCCAGTGGTGAGCAGCAGCGATGAGTCCTGGTTAGACGGCTACCCTGTGACAGATGGGGCTTGGAGGAAGACGGAGGCGGAAGAGGAGGAAGATGGAAACAAGGGGGCTGGGTCAGTAGGACTGGATGAAAGTACTCTAGTTACCCCTGATCAGCCCGTTCTTGTGGAAATTAAGAAGCCCAGGAGTACCACACTCATACCACATGAGGACATGACCCATAGTTCAGTTCTTCCATCTCAAATGCTAGATGTGGAGGCTTTAGCTCTCAGACCCATGAATGTGTCTGAGACTGAGGGTCCCCATAATGGGGATGGTGACTTGACCAAGTACCAGTCAACTGTGCTGTGGAGATTCACCACAGAGAAGTCTCCCATGGCTACCCTACCCTATGAACTCACCACCTCTACGCTGGAGACATTAACAACTGCTGTCCAGCAGATGTCTGACCACATCCCCTCAACAGTCATGGCGGCCACCCAGCCTCCAGTGGAGACCACTGCTCCTGAGGTCCAGGATAGCTTCCCATACCTGCTGTCTGAGGACTTCTTGGGACAAGAAGGCCCCGGGCCAGGTGCAAGTGAGGAGCTTCTTCCAACCTTGGAGCCATGTGTGGGGGGCGAATGTCCCAGCCTCAGTAGAGGCCCCATGATCGCCACCATCGTCACCGTCCTTTGCCTGCTGCTGCTCCTAGCAGGTGTCGGGGCAGTGTGGGGCTACCGCAAGTGCCAGCACAAGGGCTCCGTGTACAAGCTGAATGTTGGCCAGCGGCAGGCTCGGCACTACCACCAGCAGATTGAGATGGAGAAGGTCTAGCCTCCTTCAGAGTGGGCTGTCCCAAAGCCACTTGGGAGGAAAATTAATGGTGACACATCACACTGATAAACACTGATAATTCATGAGAGCATGACACAGGTAGAGTGGAGCTCACCATTTTTTCCTCAGCTCTTTATTTTATAGGCTGAGAAGTGTCTTTGGAGCACCTGGTAGGGTAGGAAGGCTTTGGTGGCATCATCTCACACGTCAGTATCTCCTCAACGAACTGATTGCACTAATCCCAGACCTGTGCATGGGCCCTAATTCCAATGTGAGGTCAAAGATCACCTCTTCTTCCTCATACTATTGTCTTCTTTTCCCTTTTTAAAAATAGAATCATTGGCTTCGTACCCTGAGATTGTTTAACTAGGTGTGATAAACTGAGCATTTGAGAGCAGTGTTATTTAGGACATAGGTGTTTAATTGTTGCAAGTGGGATATGAAAGAATCATGGGTTATTTCCTTTTAATGTTGTGATGTTGCTGAGGGCAAATGAACCAAGAACCAGGACACAGTCTAGACTCTAGAAGCTTTGAGGTTTCTTTGTAATTGTTTCTTGAAATTGGAGAGAATGTAAGACTGACATTTTGTTGGGGGGAGGCAAGAGTGAAGAGGCGCACATCCACCTCTGTTCCCTCCATTCTGTGGGACAGCTCACCATTTTTGAAAAACAAAGTTAGCTTTGTACCAGTAAGTACCATTTCCTCTCAGAAGCAGTGGTCTAGTTGTCCTTGACCAGTCTGTGCCTAGGAATGTCTTGGAATTTTTGCCAGGACCAACAAAACTCAGTCCTTGGTTTCCTCTCTCAGGATTAGCCATTTCTCTGAACTCCAGAAAGAGGGGATGACGTGGGAGAAAAAAAATGTTTTAAGAGGGCCAAAGACTAGGATATCAAGTATGGGAGCCTACTTGATGAAGAGGCAGTGGAATTAAAAAGGAATGTGAAATGATCTGTGCTGATCTATTCTTTAGTGTGGAAATCGTGAGCTCTATGGAAACAGAGTCTGTCCTGGCTATTGGGCAACCCATTTCATAGATTATCTTGTGGTGGCTCAGCAAGTATTGTTTATGACAGTGGCTCTCAAGGTGTGGTCCTCAGACCAGCAGAATCAGCATCACCTGGGAACTTGTTGGAGATGCACATTCCATGGTTCCACCCCAGACTCAGGAAACAGAAGCCCTGGGAGTGGGGCCCAGCTCTCTCGTTTTAACAAGCCCTCCAGGTGACTTTGATGCACACCAAAGTTTGAGAGCCATTATTTTGTGATAAATTGTGAGCTTTGAGGCCAGGCGAAGCCCTAGAGGCACAGAAGACAAGTAACACCTGTGGTTTGTCTTGCATGGGAACCAGGCATCGCTATGTGCACGTGAGGCAGTGTTTGAAGCTGCCAAAATGCCATCTGCCATGGTCTCCTGTGTGTTGGCACAGAAACTAAGCATGCTGTATATTTCTGGTATGAATCACCTTCTTGGAAATAGTTATCAGTGATAAAAAGTGATGAAAGCAATACATTTATTTTGAGACACTATAGGAGTCCAAGTGTTTTTGTGTGGCATGAGAGAAATCTTGATCTTTTTGCAATTGAAAAATTGTTGGGGGGTGTTTTCTCTAAGGAAAAAAAGAATTCTCACAACATGTTTTCTTCCCTGCCACCTCTTTTCAGTGCAAGCTTTGGAAAAATAATAGGGTAAGTAGCCATAAAGACAGTCAGCATAATCAAAGATCTTAGTCCCCATAATTGGATAAAATAAAGGCTTGAAGTTACCAAGTGGAATACCGATGCATCAGATGAAATCAATACAATTGGAATAAAATGCTCTCTACATGTTGCCAAAGCAAAACACAACAAATAAAAGCCAGAGACTGTATATATTTATAAATTAGATTCTAATCTATTGTAAGACAACTTTTCTATTTTTAACTATACCAAGTAACCTCTGCCTCAACATTGGGGTTGTTGGTCACTGTTATTATGTAATAACCCAGAACACTGAATTTACACCAGCAAATAAATAGGTAATATTAATACAAATGTATTAATAAACTTATTACAAATTATTAATACACATAAATGTATTATTTATAGACGTGGACTGCAAAATCCAACACATCAGTTTTTAAGTTTTTATTGGTTTGCTGTCATCTAAATTAATGTTATAGAATCTAAAAATGCATGTCAGAGGGGACCGATTAAAATGCTGTAAACCTAAATTGTATGTCATTATGCATGTTTTGAGACTGGTAAATGTTTAATCATGAAAATTGAGGGGTGGGATGGGGTGTTCTATTAACGCAAAGCTTCTGAGATGTTTAAAATAAATAATTATTTCCCCAAACTGTTACTGAATGTATTTTATTTCTGGGTTACTGCACCATGGTTTAAAAAAAAAAAAAAAGGATTCTCTAGTAACCTTGAAAATAATGTCCTAATACTTGCTATAGCTAGGACTGCCCTCTCTAAGCCCAGCTCTCAGCCATGTCCCTCCTGCAGCCGGACTTTAGGGACATCTACAGAGCTCTTGCCCCCTCCTCCCTCCCTCACCACAAACAGGCCCTGCCCTTCCCAACAGGGAGACACCCAGTGCCTCACTGGTCAAACTGTGGCTCCTGCACTAGCAGCACGTTCACCCCCTGGGGGCTTGTCGGACGTGCAGATTCTCGGGCTTCGCCCCAGACCTGCAGAATCAGAATCCGCATTTAACAAGATGCCCAGGTGACGGGTGTGCGCGGTGAAGTCTTAGAAGCACTGGCCTAAAAGACCAAAACGATTACCTCCCTTCTCCCCCTGATGGGACACTCAGAGGAATACTTAAAGAGGACTAGTTGAAGGGACTATCACAAAGCTGTGTGCAGGATTAAGGGAACCATCAAGGGATGGTGGAGACCTGTTAGGGACCCCAACAAGAGCTTCAGCAATAGGAAAGACACTGCCGGACAAGAGCTCTGGCCTCAAGGAGGATGCAGCCCCTGTCCACCTGTGGCCTGGAGGAACCAGAGATTTTAAAGACCTAGACCTCTTCCCTCACCCTGCAATCTCTTGCCAGCACATCCTAGTGGCAACTGGAAGTCAGAGGGTGAGGGAGCCCAGGCAACGCAGACCACAGGAGTCAGGCTCCTGGGGCACAGGGCATGTTGGAAAAGAGACCTGGGCGGGGAGGGGCAGGGCAGCAAATAGCAAATGCAGCTCAGAGACCGTCAGCACCAATGCCATCTGCCTGATGTCCCTTTCTACCTCTGTGAGCATCAGGGGTCCGTGCCCCCCAGTGCCGTGGACACTGTTGATGCCCCTCCTGGGCCTGCTTCACTAGGCAGGTGAGTCCATCTCCTAGCTGCCCTGAGTGTTGGCTGTTAAAATGTTCATAAGCACCTAAGTGTACCTTTTTCACCCAGGGAACTGCTCTCAACCTAATGGGAGTTCCCTCACCTGGGAAGTTAGACCACCTTCTACCCTGGTAGCGCAGCCTGTAGCCAATGACTGGCTGCCATGTAGATACAAAAGGCCGGCCTCCTTGCCTGAGGTGGGACCAATTCCGTGGTGTGATTCCTGCGCCAGAGCTCCCGTGCGAGCTGGCGGAAGCTTGCCTCCAACTGAGAAGATAGCCCTGCTATTGGGCCTGCTCCCCTCACACCCCTTCTCCTGAGAGCACCCCATCACTTGCCTCACCTCCAGGGATCCCAACCTAAGACACCCATCAGCACTCGACTCCCTACACCTCCTCTCCGCCTCAGTCCAAACTCTTTTGATGTAGCCTCTGGAATTCTTGGGCTGACATCAACAAAATCCCTGTGTTCTCCACCTTTTCTTCAAACAGCTGATGTTTGAACTCTCCAAAATGTGGACCTCTTTTTGTGCTGTTTCCTCACTCTTCCCACCTACCATCTTCTACTCTGCTTTCTCCTTGCCTGCCCTTCGGTGACATGCATGGGGCGCCGTTGGTGTTGGCAGTCGTGTCCAAAGATGCTTTGGGTCCTTGTTTAAAACAGATGCCAAATGTTTTTCCTAGTGGGACCCCAGATCTTCTCCGAAAGAGAGAATCTCCCCAGGGAGTGGTATGAACCTCTACTGCCTGCCAGGGCCTCGGCCAGCGCATAGCTAGCAAGGACCACCCCTGTTGCATGAGATCTAGGAGTCCCTAGTGTAAGGTTTCTGCTTTGTTAGATGAACGTCAGAAATTTCACGAACCTGAAAAAACAGAGCTCATTACAACATGTGTCCTAGAATGTGGTTAAGACATTCCCATTCAGTGGATAGAAAAGAAAATAGAGAATAAGCAAAATAAAACATGTAGTGTGATTTTTAAAAAATGCTTTTGTTGGCTGGACGCGGTGGCTCATGCCTGTAATCTTAACACTTTGGGAGGCCGAGGCAGGAAGATCCCTCGAAGCCAGGAGTTCAAGACCAGCCTGGGCAATAGTGAGACGCTGTCTCTGCAAAAAATACAAAAATTAGCCGGGCATGGTGGTGCACGCCTGTAGTCCCAGCTATTTAGGAGGCTGAGGTGGGAGGATCACTTTAGCCCAGGAATTTGGGGTTGCAGTGAGCTGTGATGATGCCACTGCACTCTAGCCCATGTAACAGAGCAAGACCCTGTCTAAAAAAAAAAACCTCTTGTTTACAACTATTTTCTGAGTTCTAATTTTCTGCAAGACTGAGATTGTAAACATCACACTAAACCAAGGAGGGAAGATGGAAAAAGACATCGGCAATAATGTTGATAGTCTGGCCTACTGACTGCCACCCGAAAGGGGAAGATAAAACTCTGGAATCTATTTTGTACCTGTTGGCCAAGTTGCTTAGTTCCTTCCTATTCTTCTCCTGTAAAATGAGATACCAGTATCTTACCTGCCAGCTCCAAGAGGATATTGAGCCAACTCATTCATTCAACAAGCAATCAAAGCCAGATATTTGCAGGGGGACAGTGTCAGGTGCTAGGATGTGGCTGCTCACAAGCCTGCCCTAGGGGGAAAAGCACTCTAACTGCAGCCATAGCTGCTCCCAACCCCTATTTCTGAGGTGAGAGTGGGTCAGTCAAGGCCG